TTGTAAAATACCATAGTTATCCGCGTATTCCCCCCCCCTAGTTTTTTTCAGCATATGATTTAGGAACTCCTGATTAATGGTAGCAATGTAAAATGCTTTCACAAATAAGAATTATTTTGTGTAAGTAAAAAAGAATATTGTTGAAATTAATTACATTAGAATTTAATAATATTAGTGTGTCTCTTTTTGATGTACTATGTTTATCATTTAGGTTAGGTTATTTAATTACGGCAAAGCCTCAAGGGCTATCTGCCTAAGGGGAGGGACGCCTTCGTGGAGGACTTTCTAAGGGAAAATGGCTCGTTATACACGTTACACATGAGGAAAACCACGAAAACACACATGCAGCCAGCCCGTTTGCTGGATTCGAACCTCGGACCGAACTACCACTGTCAGCGACTTTACCGCTCGGCCGCTGGTGGGCGTTTATCATTTAAGCCGTGCCTTTAGAAATAGTATACAACGCGTACTTTTCCCCTTCTGGTTTCAAACGGTAAATTTATTAGGTAAAAGGGGGATACTCGCGTAAATACGGCAGTAGGTTTGATTGAATTTGAGGCAAAAGTTTTTTGGGGGGTTTCTTTAACATTCTACAATTTGAAGACTGTTTGATGTTTGATGTATTAGTTTTTAAATTAGTTTCAATCTAAATATCTTCATGTTCTTATTGTTTGAATTGACTTCAGTAGCCAAACAAAAAAGGTTTTAATTATAATCTGACTATTATCTTTGATATGCATGATGCAACAGAAGCACTGTAATGTCTTAATGGATTATTAGTTTAGTTTTTCGACTTTTGACAGAAGATCCATTGTTTCTCCTGGGGATTTATGAAAATCACCAAGTAAAAGTTTAATCCGATTCAAACTAAATTGCTGAACCGTTCCCCGATCGACGTTAGGATGGAAGACAGCATAATACCCTGCGGATAGGCTTTGTATAATTATTTTAGCTTGCGCCTGGAGCGATTGGGTAATCATTCTGTAATTATAAGGTGGGAAGGTTACCTAGCCTTTTTGGAATTATTGCTACGGAAATTAGAATCGACAATGCTCCCCTTTTTCTACTCCATCTTTAAGCTCTTTGACTTTTTGTTCTTTGTAGTTCATTCTTTGAGATTTACTTCTGCTGCAGAGCTGAACGGAGAAGTGTTTTTAATTAAAAGGGTACTAATGACGGTTTGGAATTTTCATTTGTATCGTTAAGTGAATTTTCTTTATGTAGCTTGCGATATGTTTATTTTTAATTAGATACAAATTTTTTATGACCTCAAGAAATTATGAGAATGAATGTGTTTATAAAAATTATTAGAATACATGTAGAATTTCTATTTATACCATGCGCACCGAAGATCATTATCATGTGGTTACATGTACCTCAGTTTTAAAGAAGATAACGTGCGTTTCAAATTGGAGTTTACTAGAGAATTTTTTGTAAGTGATAAAATTGATTGGGGAATGATTTACACGGCACATACGCTTTACCTGTATTTCTAAAGGTTTTGTTAATTGTTAGCTGTATCAAATTCATTTTGAGGATTTGGTCACAGTCCTTTAATGACTTCAAACACATGGGAAAAAATAAAAGAGAATTTTAATGACTATTTGTACATTATATATAAATACATCATTTTTAATGTAGTTCTATTAAGTATCCGAGAGCAGCATTAAGCTTTAATCTTTCGTCATCGAATTCTGTGCCTCAAAGATCTTTCTCGGTGTTGCCAGATTTGCTTGCATAATCTTAGGCCGCCGAGATGGGAATGTGGTAAGTAGCGCTAACTTCTGTACCTAAGAGCGAAGGTTCGAATCCTGGAATTTTTGTAAACGTATGGTGTCTGTGCGGCAAGGAGGTATTCAAAATACACGTCGAGTCGAAATCCTCTCAAGGGGTAGGTGGTAGGTTAAGAGGGGGGTTGGAGAGCCTCGAACCGCCTCCCTCCGTGTGTTCTCCCTCGGAATTCCGAACTGTGGCGGAAGCTTATCATATAGTTAGATACGTCAATCACCTATGGTACTACAGAGATGCTAGCCTAGCTTCTACCTGTACCTGTATAGGTTTCGTGTTGCCAGGTTCGTTTTGAGTTTTTCTTAAGTCGCAGCAAAAATAATTAATTAAGGTTTTTTAGAAGAGTTTCTCGATATGCTGTGAGGTTTTTATTATTTGAAATCAATGTCAGAAAGATTTAATTGTACGAATTAAAAAATAATTCATTTGTTGTAATCATTGATCCATTTATTTCCATGCACGGAAAGTGTGTAAGTAATGCCATACTGTGTCTGTTATTGATATTTATAGCCTAGAAGCATTATTTCACCTTTTTCACTTATTGTTAAGGTACATTTGGTGAAAAATGTGCATAGTTATATAGAATTAATACGCATACATATATATTCGAAAGGATTAAATGAACTTTCATAATTTTTTATTATTATTATTCGTTTGTTTTCTATCTTTCCTCACTTTTCTGGGGGGGGGCGGAGGTTAAACTTCGCTGCTTTTTCTCTTATTTATGGAACACGAATTGCTATCTGATTGAACCTGACACCGTATTGGCTGACGACTTAAAATCTTGAATAGTAGCATTTTTTTTTTCTTCGAAATTAAAGAAAAGACAATTGGATCATATAATTAATATGGACTTGTGATGCTATTCGGCATTTAAGAAACCTATCGTAACAAGCAGTAATACTTCTATCCTGGAAAGAGAATAAATAACATAAGAACAATTCACTTATTTTCTTTTTGTCAGCTTTATTTTATTTGATTTTTTCTTGTACTTTATTGAGTATTGTTAACCATGTATTATAAATATGTGACATCATAACTTTTGCTATGAGCTATAATAGTGAATTAACTATTAACTCATCTTGTGAAATCAGGAAACTATGGATAATCTGTCAAAATTACAATGAAATTATCTGTTAGATTAAGTGCATTTGTTTCTAATAAGATACGTGTTTATGTTTCCTAACTAAAATCTTAACGGTTGCGAGGTTTTTAAAGAAAGCTTATTCAGGGATTGATATCTAAATATAGAGAGATTATTTTATCTCATTACTCTATTTTGAGCCTTTCCTTTTGCAATGTCTTAAGAATGCTACAGTGGCAAAAGGTATTCAAAAACACTTCAAGACGAAAACCACTTTCTAATGCCAGTGCAGAAGTGTTTGGAAGACGCGAGATAATGATATCGACAAAAAAGGCCGAGTCGTCTCAATTTTCAAAGATTAAAAAATAAATAAACATTATCAATTCATTTCGTTTTGCGTTTAATGATATTTTTGAACTGACATTTTATTACTGTTCCTTTGAAATTTTTATGTTCGGAAGTATTTTCGATGCACGAGTAGGAGCTGAAAAGGTAAACTAACAAGTCTCTTGAAATATACGTAACGCATCACGATAGGGGGAGAAGCCATGGTGCTTCAAAAACTAATATGGCTTTTAAAGCTTGTTGAAATTTGTGTTTATAAGACGAGACGAACATTTCTAATATTCATGAAATATACCATCTAACCGAAACTATCATTTTAATATACAGATTTTGTTTTTGTGGCCAGAAAGTTATATCTGGGTATTTAAAAATAATTAGGAAGGCAAATCCTTTATATAAATAAATGCTGTCGTGAGTCCAATAATACCATTCATTTGTTATATTGTATGCTGATTAGATATTTAGGTAATGCATTCTTATTACCTTCATTCTTTCTCATTGGACATGCATATGTTTCGGATCATGAGAATTTTACTGAAATAACTTTCATCCATTTAGATGTTAAAATAGTATTATGATCCTGTGTGCTTTAGAATTTGAGCTGGGCCTTAAGTTATAATACTGACTGCCTTAAATTCGGCAACAGCATAATTTTATATTTATTTGGAATTGCATTATATTATAATTTTATAGTTGTATAAGTTTCCAAACTACGCATTTTTTTTTTTTTTTTTTTTCCGAAAATATTAAGACTTATTTAGTATCTTCAGTAGTTTCGTAGATCGCTAAAATACTTTTAAGTATATATAGAAAAGTACAAAGTAGAGTGTGAAATTCCGTTCTTACAGTATTTTGCCATCCAGGCCTAAGAAACTGTACTCAAAAGTCCTAAACGGCCTTTTTTTCATAGTCGTTGGTCATAGACAATGTATAAAATCTGAGAAAATAATGATAATATACAAGTAATGACATTTATTCAATAAAAACTGTACATAAATAGTCCCTTTTTTACTTGCTCATGCTCTCCTCCACTCGTTTTAGTCATTTTTAATCTTTATATGTTAGCTTTAATCTCTACATTTTTTGGTAATATTTTATTAACGTTTCTACATTTAATATAGTCTACATTTTGGCAATTTTTTATTTAACGTCTGTACAGTTTTGGTGTTTTTTATTTTGTCCATTTTATATTTTACTGTGTTAAAGAAGTACATTTATGCAATACTTCTGTGACCTTTCTTTCAGACGTTTTTCGGATTTATAAAATTTAACTTGATATTTTCTTTTGTGTACTATAGCAAACAAATGTTTTAAAATTTGCAGTTTAAACTGTAGGTGATAGACTAGACATATTTGTTACTTGAGGATTTTTTTTTATATGCCAAAACTGCAATTTCCTTTCAAACCCAAAAATATGTATCAGAATGCCTTTTTTTAGGATGTTTTGCTGTCAGACATGACTATGTTTTTCTGAAATATTGACCTAGATATTTAGGTTTCGAGTGAAGTTTTCTTATTCAATAAAGTAAAGAAAATAGCATTGTTAAGTAAGAATATATTCTCACATTTCCTGGCACACACTGTTGCAGATAAATTTCAACTGTTATTTTGTGCTGTAAACCCAATATGTGTTGCCATGCCTTTTCAATTTATAACTTTATGTATGGCCTCTTTTTAGTTGTTCGGATCTTCTGTCTTGGCTTGATATTACGACGCCACAATACTATATTTTGTAATGCTGCTTATAATGAAGCGTGATTAACTGATCATTTTATTCTTTCAGGGTGTTGTGTTCCTTCCCCAGCCGCCAAAATTTCCTCTCCGTGGATTTCTGCAGTGCCCCCCACGGGCCCTCTTCCTACCGGGCACGTGGCTCCACCGCCCTTGCCTCCACCTGATCTCAATGGTTCCGAAGACAGTGATTCAAAAGATTCGAGTGGAGGAGGCAAGAATGACCTATCTTCTTCCGATGCTGAAGGTGTCTGGAGTCCAGATATTGAGCAGAGTTTCCAGGAAGCCCTGGCCATTTATCCGCCTTGTGGAAGGCGGAAAATCATTTTATCCGATGAGGGAAAGATGTATGGTATGTACTACCATCTTCTCTTTGTTTCTGTCTATATTTCACAGACTCATTTAGAATATTCTTCTTATTCGAAGCGGAAATTTCTAAAAATGCTGTGTATTTAATAATGAGTTCCATGATAGGGCACTTTTCTTATTGTTTCCCTATTTTTAAGCACTTTGCATAGCGGCTCAAAATATTAAAATTTTGAAAGGGTAAGTATATATATATTTTTTACTGTTAAGCATATGAATGGATTCTTAAGCTTGCTGAAATTCAGCAGCCAAGTGTTCTGAATGAAGCCTGGACTAATGGAATGATGTACTGGATTTACTAGAATGCTATTTTCGTCTGTATTTGATCTTACGTTCTGAATGCCTTTGACTAAATTATATTCTGTTTCATTTATATAAATTATTTATTGCTGATAAGGGAGGGTGTTGCGATAGCATTTTAGTAAATCCGTTCATGGGGATTTGTAAAGGTAAGTAATTATTATGAAGTTCTTGATTTATCTCTAGTAGGACCTAGTATTCTGTTGTTAGAGTAGGTAAGAAAGCACATGATTTTATGAAAAACGACAATTCTGTTGTCATCGTTTCGAAATGTATATAAATTTCTTTTATTGTATGCTGTTTATTTAATTTTTTTATTATTATTTTTAATAAACAAAGCTATTTTGCAGCTGATTCAGAATTTTCAGAGTATAGTGTGGTCAAGTTGTGCTTGAAAACTGATCGATGTATCACTTTAAAATCCCAATGGAGAGAGTGGACCGAAAAATTGCCTGTGATAACTGTTTTTCTTTGTACCTTAGAAGTAAAGATGTATAAATATATGTTTTAGGAACGTACTTATCTTGTTTCATTGTGCAGGTATGAAGCTTGCTCTTGTTACTGTGTTCTCAAAATCAGAAAAACAATAATGATACCCCCTTAAAAAGTTATAATACATGTAAAGCGCTTTTTTTTTTTTTTTTTAATTGTACACTTTTTTTAAGCAAATTACAAAATGGCGCAGGTATTGTATCTGAAGTATTCTTCTTTAGTATGCATAAGACTGAGATATTTTCATGAGGCTGTTTGGAATTTCCTATGTCTTCTTTTGAGGGACATCTGTTATTATTTACAGTGACGTTGTATATATTCATAATTTTCGAAGGATATGTTATAAATTAAATGTATTTGATTAAATTTGTTAGATAAATTTAAAATCTGGTTTGCCGAACAGCAAAACTGTTGAAATTGGCTGTTTGCGAGACCAGAGGAAGATAAATTCAAGATGTTATCTTTCGCGTAATCGCAGCACTTGTCAAGCACCCAAGGATGATTGATACGTGATCATGCAATGTAAGGGTTAAAAATTTTTAGATTCCGTTAAAGCCGTTTATAACATCGTATGATTATGTAAGGGACAAAATCACACGAGGAGGGTTCGTTACTTATTTCGTTTCCTTAACCACTAAACGTCCCTCATGCTGCTTTTAGATCTTGCTTACAAACGGCCAACGCTCTGTATTCGATGTGAGTAAATCCTAATCTCACCTCGAAGAGGGAAAAGGCAAGCCCATCAGCCATAGATAGTCATCGCGGTGATGATCACTTGGGCGAATTTGAACCGTTTCATCCCCTCCTGCTGGTTTCGTAATAGTTCTCCCCCACCTTCTCGTAAAACGCCTATTGAAACCCAAGTGGGCGTTATTAGGCTTTTCTCTGTCTCTTCCTTTCATCCGCGCCGACCCCCGTTTTAAACGGCGTTCGTTGCGTGCATTTATTGCATTGAAAAGCGGTGCGGTTAGTTCGTTCCGCTCTGTAATTGGTCTTGACGCTTGCCCGCCTTGATCCGGTTGTGTTTGAAGAGGTTGTGCGTTAATAGGTTTGGTTCATAAATGGATTACATATGCTAGCCGTATCTAGATTAATCAGTTTATGGCTTGAGTCCGCAACTTAGGGTGAAACGAGCCACAGAATTCGTTACGTAACGTAGTGGAATAACAATTAAGTGACACTTGTAGGATTTCTTTTCTCAATTAGTTTTTTTTTTTTTTGCATGTATTATTAGTAGTGTATTGAAAGTATATGGTATGTAAAAATACATAAATATTATTAAGCTGCATATCGTAGGGTTGTTTTTACTATAGCAGTGAAAAGCTGAAATAATTGCTGTATTTACTTTGAACGTCTTTGTTAAATTGCAAATGTGAAATGTAATATAAACTGACAGGCATTTTAAAAAAAGCCACGATTATATGTTAAATCATAATCTTAACTAGTTTAATTGTTATTTTAAATGAATAGTAACGTCTTTATTCCAAGGTATGTGCTGCAAAGAAATTTTCCTGAATTATTTCTGGTTTTCGAGTGTTAAATAAAATAAACAGCATTAATAAGAGTTTGCTGAGAATTTCGAAAACACGCGAATCTGAAACTACATGATGAACGTAGATAGATCAAATGAAAAGACTCCAAAATCGTTTTGCTGTTGCGTGTTGCTTAAATGTTGTTGGTCACAAGACAGACACGCGCGATTGAACGTGATGTATTCTAGTCAACTGTAGAGTGTGGCCTCTTGTTGTCTCTTCATTTCTTATACATCATACTTCAATATTTGCATAGTAAACAGATTTGATAGCTTGGTTTAATATCAGGCTTATTGTCTAATATATTGATGTTATCTTGCTAATTGGAAAAACTCCGATGATATAACACCGAACTTAAAGTTCCATTTATACAGATTAAGTTGTACCTCTTTAGCTCTAATGATCAGTGCAATTTATGACGGCACTACAGAACTGTAAGAAACCTCTTTATTTTAAAAGTTGAATCGCTGATAATGAAGTAAATATTTATAGTTGTCTTATTCTTTTTGTATTCAGTTCCAAATCTTCTGCCTGCTTGAAATTTGTAATGAAAATTATTCCTAGCAGTGGCTGTACTTGATCGTAAAATGCATTGTCGCTTTTGCCTCCCTTCCAGCTGGGCTTGGGAAAAATTTACTTTTAAAGCAGTATTTTCCGACCGGGTCCACATTTAATTGCGGGCGATTCACAAGAAAAAACTGAATTTCAGGGATACATAATATGAACTAAGGAGTTCATGATAAAAATTATTATTAATAAAATTATTAAATAATAGTGATGAAATAGACTAATATAGGCAAGTTCAGATATTTGCGGTCAAACGATATTCGTATTTTCTGCAAACTTCTTTAGTTTAGTTAATGGGGGGAAAAAAAGGAGAGGCGAATAAATCTGTCCATCTTGTTATTTAAGCACTAACTATTGTAGGAAAAGTTAGTCACAAAGAGTCTTTTCATTCTGTGATGAGAAATCAATCTCGTTTTGGAGAAATTTATTGTTTATGTTATTGAACATTACTGTTCTAATGAACTATGTTTTCATAAGTACTTACAAGCAGTGGCCGCTTCTGGGATGAATTGTGGGACAGATGAAATCCTTCGAAAAATAAATGTAAGTTAATGACATTTCCACGTAAATATCCACTTTTATGGGAGAGGGCTAAAATGTGTGTCGTTGTTTTCCCATCATCTTATATGAAATGTAACTAGTCGTGTAACACAGTTGTTAATAAAATAAATAAAATCGTTATCGACTTAAATGTAGTAAAAAGCGGTGATCTTCGTCTGACTCTCATAAAATTTTATCCAAATAATAATATTCTAATACCAAAATATCAGCCTCGAGGATCTCATTAGTAGGGCCTACCTATTTTAATAGCCTTTTAGAATAAATTTTTATATGTTTGAAATAGTATATTTAATTTTTTTCTCGTGTAAGTAGAAATGTTTATTTTATCAATTAAAAATTTCAAAACTTGTAAAATGCATTTTGTATATTATATTGGAATTGTTTAATTATCTTTATGTACTTACGAATAAATATTTCATTTAGAAATATTACATATGCGTAATGGGGTCCACCTACCCCATTAGGAAGTTAGGAATCCAAGTTAGGAATCACGGAATCCACTAGTAAAAAAAGGTTGGAAATTGATGTTTTATAGCCAGATGTAGCTGAATGTGTTATGCTCTTATTGAGAGGGGGGCCGCTTACGGCAACGTTTACTCTAAACTGCCAGCTTGCACCACCGACCGTTGACTTTTCTGAATTGTAAGGGTTCTTGTGCACAATGTGAACTGCGTGGTCATCAGTGTAATAGACGTTTGTGTTGTAATATCGTTCATCTGTATTTCTGCCTTGCGCAGCTGTTAGAAGCATCTCCATTGAGGTCGTTCAGCAATATCTCAATCACCTATGGTACTACAGTGATGCTGGCCTAGATTCTCCCTCTGCCTGTTGTTTACTCGCAGACCCCTTACCAATTTTACTTCTTAAAATTGAAGAGCGGAAAATTAGGCAGCGCGTACCATTTCTGAGCGGAGGGGGTAAAAGGAAGAACTTCGCAGATAAAAAAGTGCGTATGACTAGATATACTATTTCTATATTTCCTATATCAAATAAGTCAGGTACAGTCATTGCTTTCGGAGGTATTCTTTTTGCTTAACGCACTATACTTTACTACTCATCCATATGTACAACATAGGTATGTACATAAATATTTAAACATAAAAAATTCCTGTAATAGTCCTCAATGAAATCAGAATTGTTTCATATGTTGATTTTTATAATCTATACTGTTTTGGAATATGATCTTTGTAATGGAAATTGTCTTTCATTTGAAAATAATATACAAGGATTAACATCGTGAATGGAGTCGCATACAAGTTAATGAAAATATTCCATTGCTCCCAGAGCCCTTGACATTCTTCCAAGAATTGGCTGCTGCCAGATAATGAATGATAAAAAAGAGACTGCGTTGTCCGTAAGCACAAGCGATATTAAGCCGTAGTCAACCTCTGTTCAGAAATGACCGATGTATTGCATTCCACCCTCCTTCTTCTCCACCTAACCTGTCTTGATTTTTGTCCAAGAAAGGTATCTTACACCCAACTGTTTTTGCGGAACCTATTAAGAAGAGGATGTGTTGTCCAAGCGAGCAGTA